GCCTACTAAAGGAATTTATTGTAACGTTTAGTTGGTTGCTGCCTACTAAAGGAATTTATTGTAACGTTTAGTTGGTTGCTGCCTACTAAAGGAATTTATTGTAACGTTTAGTTGGTTGCTGCCTACTAAAGGAATTTATTGTAACGTTTAGTTGGCTGCTCCGCTAGAGGAATTTATTGTGATGTTTAATTGGCTGCTGCCTACTAAAGGAATAAATTGTGATGTTTAGTTGGGTGCTGCCCACCATATGAACTTATTGTAATGTTTAGTTGGCTGCCGACTACTTAATGAATTTATTGTAATGTTTAGTTGGCTGCCGCCCACTATATGAATTTACTGTCATGTTCAGTTGGCTGCTGCCCACTAAAGGAATATATTGTAATGTTTAGTTGGAAGCTGCCGACTATAGGAAAATATTGTAATGTTTAGTTGTCTGCTGCCGACTATAGGAAAATATTGTAATGTTTAGTTGGCTGCTTCCCACTACAGGAAGTCCACCACCTAATGAGGGGTTTCACCCTGCAACTTATATTATTGGGCCGGAGGTAAGCAAAACATAAACAAAATCAAATCATACTCTGTGAACAGAAAAACTTTACAATGGTTGTCGTCTTTATTTTTTTATATCAGTGTTTCGCTACAGAGTTCACAAAATTATTTAACGTATTTATTTTCTTCTTGACCTCGTTCGAAGTGTCTTTTAGTCCACAAATGGTTGGTTGGTTGACTTGTTGATTGATTGATTGAATGATTGATCGGTTGACTGACTGGTTGATGGATGGATGGATGGATTGATTGATTGATTGATTGATTGATTGATTGATTGATTGATTGATTGATTGATTGATTGACTGATTGATTGAAGAACGAAAGAAAGAATAATGTTTAATATATTGAGATGTTTCGGAGAAATCATGATAATGTTTAATATATTGAGATGTTTAGGAAGATATCCTGATAATGTTTAATATATTGAGATGTTTAGGAAGATATCCTGATAATGTTAAATATATTGATATGTTTAGGAAGATATGCCTATAATGTTTAATATATTGAGATGTTTAGGAAGATATCCCAAGAAGAATGGAGGTTTTCAGTTTTGTAATGCGTGCACCTTCAGACTATTTCTACAATAGACACTCACCTTACAGGAACATATTTTAGCATTTTTATCCTTTTAATTTTTTATTTTTTGAATTACGAAGTAGATTTGAAATTATTTATTCACCATTTGACTTGCCTTTTCACATCCACCCACATTCTTCTTCGGTTTTCCTTTTATTTTGTTTTTTTTTTGTTCATTTTTCTTTAGTTTTCCTTTTCCTTTGTTTTCCTTTTCTTTGGTTTTCCTTTTGTTCCTTTTTCCTTAGGTTTCCTTCTCCTTTGTTTATCTTTTTCTTTGGATCTTTTTCTATTTTTATATGGTGTTGTTTCTGTTTTTTTGCTTTCATTTTCCTTAGATATCTTTTTTCTTTCTTTTTTCCGCCGTTTTTTTTATTGTTTTTCCTCGGTCTTTCAGCTTTCTTTCCTTTTTTATTTCTTTTTATTTTTTGTGATCTTTTTCTTTATTTTAATCTTTCTTCTGAATTCTTTTCCTTTTTCCTTGTTTTACCTATTCTTTCCTTTTAATGTTTCTTATCCTCTCCCTCGTTCTTAAAGGGACTGTAAGCGTAGCTTAAACTGACCCTCCATGCTGCAATGGTAATGCCCGGTTTACAACGGTACCCTTGAAACCTTAATCTGAGCTGAAAACTTTAGAATGAAATATCCAATTGTCAGATCAATTTGCTTCTCTGGAGTTTAAATTCATGTGGAGAACAAGCAATATTTAAACTGGATATTAAGAAAAAGAGTGGTTTAAGCCTTAATCCTGATATCCACCATTCTAAAGTTTTCAGCTCAGATCCAAGATGGGGAAGAAACTGTCGTTTTTCTGACTCTTAAATTGTTGATTTTTTTGATTTGCTTTTTATAAACAAGGAATGCGCAAGTCACTTTCGCAGTGAAACCGCAAATTAAAATAAACAGTTCAAACAAACAAAAACATTGATATCTAATTCAGGCTTGATCAGAAAAAGTTTTTAAGGGTACCGTTGTAAATCGGGCATTGCCATCTTTACATTGAGGGTCACTTAAAACTACGCTTACAGTCCCTTTAACAGTTATTTAATCAGAATTGTCTTCCTTTTTCCCTCTTTCAGGATGGTTTAGCGTCAAACTACAAAGTGAACTATTTTCCTTGTTAAATATTGTTCAATCTCAGGACTGCGACTCTACCCGGGACGAGTAAAAATGGGTTTACCAGCCTGCGACTAGGACCTAGAATAGTCCGGACTAATGATAACAAAACTGTATATGTGGGCATTTAAGCTTGACTTTAAGTATTATTTCAGAAACTACAGGGCGAGTAATAAAATAGGGTGAATAGCGAGATCTTAGATATAATAAGGTATTTTTTTAATAATGTCATTTTCACAAATATGTGTGAAATAAAATAAAAATTTTAAGGCAATCTGATAGATCTACTTAAAAATAGATGAGTAGAATACTAGAAAAACAAAAGTGCGCGAAATAATTTTTTCTATTACACCTTATAATCTCAAGCAGATCAGATGAGTAGTTTCGGAGAAAATGCGCGAAATTTAAACAATCCAGAGATGACTTCAAGGATGTACATGGATTGGAAGATTTAAGCCTCAATAACTTTCCAGAAGAAATTCTGCGCTAATGCATTTTTCGGAATGTATTATTTTTACAATTAATTCAGAAAATTCAGCAAGAAGATGAGGACTAGACGATTTTCAAAAAAATTGCAGATTTTCTGAATTTCGCACATTACTCCGAAACTACTTATCTTATCCGTTAAAGATGTTAAGGTGTAATATAAATAAAACGTTTCCGCACTTTTGTTTTTCAACTCGTCTAATTTAGCGTAAAAAATAGTTTTGCGGATTTTTTCAACGGTCTACCAGATTGCTTATAACAAAAAATTCATACATATTTGTCAAAAATGAAATTATTAAAAAAGTGCTTTATTATATGCAAGATCTCGCGATTCATACTATTTTTTTACTCACCCTGCAGCTGAACCATGTAGATTGTAGAACTAGTTGAACAGTGTAAGTTTGAAGAATGATTTTATTCCGAACATAATGTTGTTAAATTTAACTGTACATAGAATCTATTTCTTTATGAAGCGAAACTGATCTGAGATCCTAGATGCAGATATAAATTAATTAATTTTTTTTCAATGTATCATTTATTATCTTTTAAATTCAAAATTACGCTTCATGATATGCTGGCTCAGAATTTTTAAAGTTCTCAGTTCTAGCAAAAGTTGGATCCGGATCCTATGCACTGCTTTAAAACTTTGTGGTTTTTGAAATGGAAATATGAATTTTTAATTTGTGCATTTATACTCTCATCTTGTTGTTTGTGTAGAACTGTAGATAATATAGAAACTTTAAATAATAAATCAGCTAGATATTGTTACATGGTGAAACATATTATTGAATTAGCTATTTATAATTTATGTCCAGAGGTCTGACCTTAGTGTGAGCGCGTATAAAAGTGATATAGAGTTTATACCCCATCACCCCACCCCTTCCCTAATGTCCTGCCTGACTAAAAATTATTCAAATTCTGGATATGTTCAAAAATGAAAAACCTGACATTGTCTTGAGAACGGTCAAGAGCTTTAATATAAAATAAGATTTATAAATTTTGATTCCAGAATATAGTTCTGAATTGGGGAATTGTTGTCCTCGTCATGCTTTATAAAATGTTGGTTATAGATTTGATTATCGACTTTTACATTTACTCTCAATATGAGCTGGGATCCAAAAATCCAGTCCTTTAATTTGTGTCCCTTTCTAACACTCCCGTGTTAGAAATGGGACAAGCGTTAGTTTTGGAATTAATGTCCCCTGAAATTACAACTTAGCTAGGTTATTTTTTTCTCTTCTTAAAACTTTTCTCTAAAAATTAAATAATTTCCCAAAAACTACAATTAGAACATAATTTTTGAGAGTGTAAGGGAGGGGGGGGGGACGTGGTCAACATTTTCCCACACAGAAAATATGTCCTGAAAATTAATTTTAAAGGAAGTGACCGGCAATATATGGTAGTTGAACTGAGAATGCAGTATTGTAGAGAAATTTTTTGGATTCCTTAGAGACTCATCAGACGTGTTTACGGTGCATATTTTGTTCAGTGTGAGCGCAAATTCAATTTTTATAAACCCTCGGATTGTTCATTTTGAAGGGGTGTATTTGACGATCGTGTTTTTAAAAATTATACAATAACGACGACCAAAAATGTAACAAAAATTCTTTAAAACTTAAATGTTCAGAAACATATTTCTCAAAGAATATTTGTTGATAAATCAATGTTAGAATCAATCGTTTTTTTTTCATATTTACATTGCAACTGCATTTCCTATTCTCTACGAATTTGTTTGCAGATTTCTTCAAATTCTTCAAATGTCGTCTTTTCAATAAAAATTCCAGGAAATCAACGGAAAATATTTGTAAACAACGAGATATTACAAATACAATTATCTCCATAAGATTACTTTTTTTCGAAGATAAAAGTTAATTTATATTTTCTTAACCTATAACTATAACATCTTAAGTCGTTTACCTTAAAAGTCTGTGGTGGAGTTCCATTGGTGATAGGACCGTAGAATTTTTCTTCGTCATTATTGAATAATTGTTAAAAACCGATTCTCAAAGCGTAACCACCCAAATGAAAGATTTGAACGTCGACTTTGCGCTCAACCTCAGTAATTATACTTCAATAAAACGTTTTATATTTCTTAAATGAATCCTAAAATATTTCTTCACAATACTACATTCTTAGTTCAACTACCATACATAGCCGGTCACTCCATTTAAGAATTTTTCTATGGAAAAGGATGTTTGGAAAAAGTAAATAAACAGTGTGTCCTACATCACACTTGATCGTGCATAGCTCTAAAATAGAATTTTTGGGGGCTAAACAGAAAATGTAAAAGAATTGAAGCATTCTAAAACTTGTTAACCCTATCTATCCTGATTGGAGGACTGGGGGGGCGTACAAACCCCGCCCCCCTTTTGTTTTATTTCTCCATACTTAAAGTCTGTAATCCGTTCACTGTACTGTACTGTACTGCACTGTACTGTACTGTACTGTACTGTACTGCATATTTACTTAGTCGGAGATTTGTGAGAGTATCGTTGAACAATACACCCGAGTTTCGTTTTGGGGTAATTTCATTTTTGTAAATTTCAATTTTAGAAATCAGAAAACAAAAAGAGAATGCAAAGAAACCACAAGAAATAATATTTCTTTACCAAAATATTGGTATCTACAAAACTGCTTGACCCCATTCTTGAAACCGGGTTTCCGATACTGGGTTTCATTACGATACTCTGCCTTAAGTTTCGGGCTCCGGAGTTCTGCTGAGTTACCGTGCACTGAAGACAATAAACTTAAGATTTATGACCAAAGTTCGGTCCTAAATAAATTAATATAAGCTCCAGTTTCCTTTAAGTTTTCTAATCAAATTCTGTAAAATTAATTTCTATTTGATGAAGATTTCGTTCCTTAAACTTCCACATCAGGGGTGTAAAATTTCAAGAATTAATCTTACACATTCCTAGTGGAGGGGGAGGGGGGGGGGGTAATGCATTTGCTAAGAAAATTCAATTTTGACATGAAAAGGCAAGTTTTTTCACTCTTGTTTGATATTTTCCCCAAAACAGTCACATATTTTCCCTAATTAAAAATAAAGGCGGACTAAACCAATATCTCAAGGGGAGGGGGTGGGGGTATATTTGCGCGCGTAAGGGCGCCAAAAAAAGAATTTGGGCCCCTCTGGGCACCCCACTAAAAATTGAACAAAAAGCAGTAATTATTTCCAATTTCTTATTTATCATCACATTTCGAGATTTTCATACAAAAAAATTAAACATTTTTATTGAGATCGATTAAGCATAAATTAGTATATTATCGGTAATTAAGAAATAAACAATTAATTCGCTGCCCAATTCATAATTTAAATAAGAATTTAAACTTTTTACCAATCAAATCGATAACAGAACATTTTAGCATTTTTACATATCTAATCCAAGCAAAAATGTTGGTGATAGGGTTTCCGTAAACTTTGCTGTGACGTTTTTGGACTGCTGAAGAACTAGTTTTTGCGTAACAACAATAACAAAGGCAGTCGATCTAATGTAACCAAACATGAGTTAGTATACGGCGAATCATCATCTATTGCCAGATGTTTGTTTATCATTTGTGTTATTTTTAACAATCTTTATTATTGTTGTCACGCAAAAACTAGTTCTTCAGCAGTCCAAAAACGTCACAACAAAGTGTACGGAAACCCTTTCGCCCCCTCCTTCTATTCAATTCTCCTTGGGTTCGGTAAACTTTACACACACTCTTTTGGTACAGAGACACACACATGACGTTTCCGCCCCTTGCTTAATGCTTTTATTTCATATCATAAATTTCCTTGTGTGGGGGGGGGGTCGTCCCCCCCTCAAGAAGCTCAGGGGGGTGTCCTTAAGCCCAGGCCCTCTTCTAGTCTGCCCCTGATAAATCTGAAACAATATATTTATGTAAGTCTGAAACTATACTTTGCTTGTCTGTCCGAAACTCTATATATTTGTGTAAGTCTGAAACTATATATATTTGTGTAAGTCTGAAACTATATATATTTGTATAAGTCTGAAACTATATATATTTGTGTAAGTCTGGAACTATATATATTTGAGTGAGTCTGAAACTATATATATTTGTGTAACTCTGAAACTATATATATTTGTGTAAGTCTGAAACTATATATTTGTGTTAGTCTGAAACTATATATATGTGTAAGTCTGAAACTATATATATTTGTGTAAGTCTGAAACTCTATATATTTGTGTAAGTCTGAAACTATATATATTTGTGTAAGTCTAAAACTATTTATATGTGTGTAAGTCTGAAACTATATATATTTGTGTAAGTCTGAAACTATATATATTTGTGTAAGTCTGAAACTATATATTTGTGTAAGTCTGATCTTAAATTGTAAAGGGCTTCTTGAATCATAAGATAAAGAAAATGAAAATTAAACAATAATTGACTAACAGACATTTCAAGATATTTTAATATTTAAAACAAAAGAAAATTATGACTAATTCATAACTAATCTCAATCTTATCATAATGAGATGTTTAATTTTAGAAGGTATACTTGTAGTAAATGCCTTACTCCCATACATCCTTTTAGATCCGTACCTCTTCAGGTATAACTTTCCGTATTCTCAGGTATCTGTTTTACAAGATACAACTCAATCTCAAACTCATTGTTCATCAACAGTACCTTAGTCAATATCAATCTGGATATGACTCTATCTGTATTCTCAGGTATCTGTTTCACAAGATACAACTCAATCTCAAACTCAAGGTTCATCAACAGTACTGCAGTCAATATCAATCCGGATACGACTCTATCTGTATTCGCAGGTATCTGTTTCACAAGATACAACTCAATCTCAAACTCAAGGTTCATCAACAATACCTTAGTCAATATCTATCCGGATACGACTCTATCTGTATTCTCAGGTATCTGTTTCACAAGATACAACTCAATCTCAAACTCAAGGTTCATTAACAGTACCTTAGTCAATATCAATCCGGATACGACTCTATCTGTATTCTCAGGTATCTGTTTCACAAGATACAACTCAATCTCAAACTCAAGGTTCATCAACAGTACCTTAGTCAATATCTATCCGGATACAACTCTATCTGTATTCTCAGGTATCTGTTTCACAAGATACAACTTAATCTTGAACAAAAGGTTCCACAAAAACACACTGGTCAATATCAATCCGAATACGACTCTTTCTGTATTATCAGGTATCTTTTTTGCCCTATACAACTAAATCTTGAACCCCAGGTTCCTCTCTCGTTTTTGCTAAACAAGGAAACAAATTACTCTCACACCGTAATCAAAGCGGAGTTTTATTCCAACTAACGTTATTTTAAGCTTGAAGTTATAGGTTAAGTTAATGAACGTAATTGAAAGTTTTGCATAGTTATATACAAGCGTTGTTAAGCTAATCACAATACAGGTTTGACGTAGTTATTTACAGGCGTATTTGGGTTACATGGTACAACATAATATATTTAAGCGTGTTCAGGTTAACAGATATAGGGTTTACTTACTTGTACAGTTTTGCAGCCCTATTTATGGATTGCATAGCCTTTTTTTCTTATTATATCCCATTAAAAATGGAGTTAGGGTTTAAACATGCAAGATTTAACATGATTAAATCAACCTTGGTGTACTCAGAAGAATGTGAGGTCAAATATATATTTTTTTTTAAATCTAGATATTTATTATCTCCGTATCGAGATTATTTAAATTGTACAAAATAGTTTACATGGATTGAATAAAACAATTTTACATCAAATTTGTTTACATATTTTTTGAGAGAGTTATATAGGAGTCAA